TGTCCTTTCCTTCTCCTTCTTTCCAGCAAGCTCCAAATGCACCCATCAAACACTAGTTCCATACAAATTTAAATACAAGATTTGTAAGCACAAAGTTAAACACATGATTATATCAATGAATTAATGATCTCATTACTAATAATTCTTTAAAATTGTAAAAATCTGGTTTACAAAGATCATATTACTTCATTTCAACTGAGTAAATAGTTAGACTAACATAATTTAATCTTATATAACTTGGTTCAAAAACTATAATAAATCTAGAAAGAAAACAGTTCACCTTATATTTTTCACTTTAACTTTATCTTTTATCTTTTATCTTTAATTATTTACACTTAGTTGTCGTCACTGTTTTCCGTACATATAAATATCTTTGTGTGTTAGACAGCTGGCCCGGCATATAAATTTCCCAGGAGTAAAGAAAAAGATAAAAAGGCATTGGTGGTGGAGCTCGGTGTTTACATACAATTATTGTACTAGCTCTTTGCGAGAACCACAATTAAATACCATCTAGCTGTCATCACAAAATTAATTTTCTGGTGACTTTGACTTTGGTCCCACCCATTTGTTGACAGTGAATGTGAAAATAAGTGAAAGGTAAGGATTATCCGTAAGAGCATCTTCTCATCAATGATTCAGCGTGAAAGACAAGACTACCTCTTCAGTCTTCATCAATGGATTAGTAGCATGAAAGTTCTAAATAAAAGGAATCCAATTTTGACTGATGTGACATTGTAGAAAATAAATGGAAAAAAGGAGTTCATTCAGGATTATATTTGGTTGATACTGTTTTTGACACGTAAAATGTTGAATTGATCCAAAAGATATATGTGAACGGGGATATGTGAATGAACAATGGATGGAAAACAATGTTTTAAGTGATTCAGATGTTTAAGTAAGCGACTCCTACGTCTATTGATATTATATTAATATGAAGGTTCAGGTCACGTTCAGCAAGCTGACTTAGAAGTGATTACAATAGAGAGAGAGTAAATTGTTATAGAGAGAGATAAGCTAATACATAGTAGAATGAGTCAATCCCACAAACGAGAGAGGAGTCATCTATTTATAGTGGGATGAATTGGAGTAATGATTACCGAATCTGTAAAAAGGGGTCAGATACCATACAAATCCTTCTTTGCGTCCCGTTGCTCACCTACTCGAGTGATTTACATGATTTGTGTAGAGATTAGACACATGGTGCTCCTCCAGCCTCTGGTCATTCTGACGCGCACCCATTGCACTGGCAGGAGCATGCTGCTCACGCCAGCACGCGACGTGGCTACGTTTGACTAGCTGCAGGTCCTACCCAAACTCTGACCAATTTATGCTGAGAGGGCACTGCATCAGCCCTACCTATTTAGGCATAACGGAAGTCCCCTAGTTTTTAAGGTTTGAGAATCGAACCTTGGAAACTACATAATTATGCCTTGATTTGATGCGTTCAAGAGGTGATGGTCGGCTCGACTTGGTTTCAAATAGGTCGGGGAAACATGTCCATACGGGCGACTTGAAACGGCCTTTATTTAAGGGTCAGCGACCTCTTCTTGACCCATATTTAGTGTTGTGGCGATGGCCCTGACCTGGTATGAAATTAGCGACTTGATTACACTTAGTGAGTTTCGCTAAGAACAAAGGATCACGTCGCTTCTCAACAGATGTCCGTTGAGGTCTGGAGGTCACGTCGCTTCGCGATGTACAAGACGAGGAGTGTTTTTCATATCGACCTCTTCAGATGTTTTTCGTTGCGCTTTTGCTGCAGGTGCATTTAATGAAATATCATTTACTCTGACAGACGTGTCTTATGCACAATAAGTGCCAGCCATGTGCATTAAATGAGAGCCATGCTGAAACAACATTCCCTATCAGAGCATTAAATGCGGACGTGGGCGCATTTAATGTTGAGGAGGGAGAACGTGCCATCGCTTGAGTTTTTCAACGGAAAAGAATGACGATTTGGTTTCTTGAGGCGTGATGGTCATTCTTCTTCACTGATTCGCGACACATGGTTGTGATCAACTGTCAGATGCGTTTTTCGCCCAAACGTCGTTTGACTCTGGGAAACCAAAGCGCCATTTCCTTCACTATAAAACCCAGGTTCACTTCAGGCAATGTCACAATATTCATCTTCCTAGAGAGAGCAAGAGATTTTCGTGAACTCTGATTCTTTGCCTTTCAAACCGGTGCGCACTTGATACTTGAAGCAGGAGGATTAGTCTTCTCATTCCAAGAGGTAAGAATTGTTCTTTCTGCCACTTTTAGTCACTTTTTTTTTTTAGTAGTTTCCACGCGATGACAGTCTGCCAGTAGTTGACCGGAGATGAAATATTCTCCTTAGGTTCGAGCCATGAATGGTGGCTCTAGAAACATTCTGTTAGGGTTTTTCTGGAGTAAGGGGGAAATTTTTTTTTTTTTTTCCGATTCCTTGCTTGTCGCTTTTGCAGACCGTAGTAGAATAGACCCCCCAACGATCAGAGCCGAGAAAGAGACCAACTTGCCCCACAGGATGCTCCTGCGGGTCCTCCTCAAGAGATCCTGTCGGTGCTTACTGCCGACGAACTTTAAAGGGTGGTAGACCAATACGCTATCAGCATGGAGGTCTTCTGAGACAGGACACGTACAGCTCAGAATCCGTCACGAGGGTTGGGCACGATCTCCGAGGATATTTTCAAGGGTGAGGGGTTGATCTCTTTCTACCCCTTTGTCAAGTTGGTCCTTGACCATTTTGGGATCGCACCCTTACAGCTCACACCAAATGCGTACATGATAGCTGTGGCCATGTACATCACGTGCCGTGAAAACGGACTAGGCAAGCTAACCACGATAGAGCTCGGTTGCTCGTATATCCTGAAAAAGAGTAAGGACAAGGATTCCTACTACCTTTCTAGGCGAACCGCCATCGAAGCAGGGATACATAGTTATTCGAGCAATGCAGGACCGTATGAGACGAATTTCTTTTTCTTTCGTCATGACGACATTTGCCGTTTTCAAGAGCCGAGTAGGTTTTCCTTTACTTTAAGTTTGCGAGCTTATTTGTCCTTTCCTTTATTTTCTTTGCCAGTTAACAAAACGACCAGTTTAGAGCTGCTCGTGGATCCGGACAGGATCACAACCTTCGGTTTCCTGCCCGAAGAAATTCGCGACGCTAGGTTGCTCGTGACAATCGCAAACTTGCAGAAATACGACTTCTTCAACTCGGGAGCAACCCTAGAGCCCCCACCGAGTAAGCTTCGCAACCTTGGTTTTATTTTTTATTGTGCATGCAGCGAACTGTTTTGCTAACGACGTTCACATGTAGCGCCAATGCCTCCAAAGGTGCCCAGGTCGCCACGACCGAGGCAGTTCGCCTTCCCTCGAGTAGGCACCATTGGACCGACTGGAACTACTTCTAGCGGTCCCCCTATCGGAAGGGCGCCAACTGGTGCTCCAGTCTGACCTGCGGGCGCTCCCCAGCCCCCGGCTGTTCGCCCAAAGCAGAAGATGATGGCCCAACGACCCAAGAAGAGGAGGAAAATTTGGACTGAAGAATCAGAGTCCGAATCGGAGGACCTTGGCGTTCAGCTCGGGAGGTCGCAGTCCTACCAAGCGTTTCGCTCGGGAAGGTCTACCGGAGGTGCAACCGACATTGCCATTGCCCCGGGAACACTGCGAACAGGGCAGAGTGGGGTCGCAGACCTTGGGAGGAGGCCGGGCAAGGAATCGGCAGGCGACACGACTCCGGCTAGAGGTGTGGGCATGGACACTCTAGTGCTAGACTCGATGGGAAAACTTCTGGTTCACCTGCAGCCGGTGGTTTTTACCCTATTGGAGTGCGGACTTGCCGAAGCATTTGAGCAGTTCGTGGACTCCAACCATGTGGACCTGATGTCCACATCCATCCGACACCTGAGCAAGGTAGAACGAGCTGTCCCCGACGCGAACTTTACATTTATCTCTTTTAATAGCAAGGAAGCTAACTTGTTACTCTTTTCTATTTGTTCGCAGGCCCTGCTCTCCATTCAATTGTCCTTACAAAAGGTCCAGCCGGGAGCCACTGAGGGGATGGTCATGCTGAGGGAAGAGAACACGCGGCTCAAACAGGATTTGGAAGCCGCGGAAGCTGAGAAAGACTTATCCACCGCTTTGTCGAACCAGTACCTGAATGAGAGGAACGCTGCTCTTCGCACGGTGGACTTCCAGAAAGCTGAGCTAGAGAAGCATGGAGAGGGAAATAAAAGAGCTTCAGAGGATAGTGGCCATACTCTCCAAAGAGGTTGGCGAGAAAGACCAGTAACTTAAAACTTGCGAGCAGAGCGGGAGAGGGGCGAGCTGTCGGAGGTTTCCGAGAAGCAAAGGCAGGCGCTTGAGGCTGAGCTCCAAACTAGCCAGGGAAGAGTCACTTCGCTGACTGATGAGATGCAGCGTCAAGGGTAGTTTGAAGTAATTAGGATTAATTTTGTGGTCATGACGACTTGTTCAATAAAATGACACATTTTAAACAAGCATTTTGAGACAAATAACCTATGGTAATTTGAAGTGGTTTTACCTGTTTGGTAAGGAATAAATTTTATATTTTTAATTTTTTATGTGTTTTTGGACAAACATAAAAAATACGTTTTTATTTTTGGCCTTTTTAAATACTGTTTTCAGATAAACATATTAAACTTCGTATTTTTCAATCAAAAACCTAGAATACAAAAACTCAAAATTCATAATCAAACACACCCATGTTTGTTTGAATATTCAAGATCATAACATCTATTATTAGTTCCGTAATATTGACAACCCCAAACGGCTTAATATGACTTTGTAAAATGTTACATAATCATTTATTTTAGAAGTTGAATCTCTTTCACTTCATTGAGTCTAAATTGTTGCGTTATTAGGTGTATATTTGGATTGGATATATGGTTCAGGGTCTTCTTCCCTTGAGTTAGCTTTTGAAAAACACAAAAAACAAAACAAGAGAAGAGAAGCAACAAATTAAACCCCCAAAATCAAAATGCAGTTAGTTATATATCTTCTTTCCAAGAGGTCCCAAGCAATAAACCATAAACTAAAGAGTAAAGATCAGCTTATTATTGGTTGTTGGGTGCCAAAGAGCGCATGTAGCCTACACTAGCATTGAAATAGGTGACAAGCTTTTCTCTTGGGGGAAGGCTTTCTTTGATGAGTGGAATTTGGATGAAGTTGTGGCACCATTCATTCAGCAATGGCAATTTCTCACCATCAACCAACTTCATTTCTCCAACTTGTTCCATTACCGTCAGCCAGTGAGGGATCCAACCCAATGCTACATCCAGATATCCTATTTCTTCTCCACCGAAATATTTCTTTCCTTCAATCTGCTTCTCAAGAAAAGCAAATGATTCTATTGCAGACTCCACTGCTTTGTCCTTTTCTTCTCCTTTTTTCCAGCAAGCTCCAAATGCACCCATCAAACACTAGTTTCATACAAATTTAAATACAAGATTTGAAGCCTTGTGTAAGCACAAAGTTAAAAACATGATTCTATCAATGAATTAATGATTTCATTACTAATAATTCTTTAAAATTGTAAAAATCTGGTTTACAAAGATCATATTACTTCATTTCAACGGAGCAAATAGTTAGACTGACGTAATTTAATCTATATAACTTGGTTCAAAAACTATAATAAATCTAGAAAGAAAACAGTTTCACCTTACATTTTTCACTTTATCTTTTATCTTTAATTATTTACACTTAGTTGTCGCCATCACTGTTGTTCTGTACATATAAATATCTGTAAGTGTTAGACAGCTGCCCCCGGCATATAACTTTCCCAGGAGTAAAGAAAAAGATAAAAAGGCATTGGTGGTGGTGGACCTCGGTGTTTACATACAATTATTGTACTAGCCCTTTGCGAGAACCACAATTAAATACCATCTAGCTGTCATCACAACTTAATTTTCTGGTGACTTTGGCTTTGGTGACATCCATTTGCTGTCTTACCCTACAAGGAATGTGAAAAGAAGTGAATGATGAGGATATCTGTAAGAGCATCTTCTCATCAATTATTCAACATGAAAGACAAGACTACGTCTTCAGTCTTCACCAATGGATCAGCAGCCTGAAAGTTCTAAATAAAAGGACTCCAATTTTGACTGATGTGAAAATTGTAGAAAATAAATGAAATGAGGGGTTCATTCAGGATTATATTACTATTTAGCTAAATACGTCATTGCTTGCACAGATAGCACCAATATTATTAATGAAATTGTAATTAGAGTAATAATTAAACCAATGAGAAAATTATAAAGATATATATTACTATCCAAACTATAACTTATGAGGGATTTTGATAACTTTATGAAGGGGTTTGATATTTTTTAGGGGATTTTTGATAATTATATGAGTTTTTTTTTTTTAATACTTTTTGAAGGATAGGATGACTTTCATTCAAACAATCTCATAGAGAAAAATAAAATATACCCTTTTACATAAAGTTCACATAACCTAAAGGATTATTTCACTTTCACTTTAAAAAATTGTATGAACAACATAACTGTAGTATCAAAATTTTTCATTAGAAACATAAGGCATATATTAGAAACATAGTGGAGGACAGTCTTTAATCTTCAGTTTTCTGAGGGCAGTAAGGCGTTGGATCCCTTCTGGAAGAGATGACAACCTTCAGCATTTTATAATTTCCAGCGTTTGAAGTGATGTCAGATTTTGCAGCCACTCCGGTAGTGCTTCTAAGTTGGGACAACTTTCAATTTCCATGCACTGTAAAGTGTTTGCCGGTCCTTGAAGAATAATCTGAGGCAAATCAACTAATGTTGGCAAATATCCGATTATAAATTTTTTGAAGTGACGGGCAAAGGCTATATTCATCTTCAAATTAATCTGTCTCCAGTCATAAACAACAAACTTCTCTAATCTCTTTAGTTGCTTGATGCTGTGTGGCAACGAGGCCAGAGGACAATATCGAATATACAGTGATCGAAGGCCTGTGACACCTTCCATCCCTTCAAACAATTTTACTAGATTGATGCAGGCATTGAGTACAAATATTGAAGAGAACTCAAAACAGCCGATTCCATATTCTCGTAGATGCGGCTCTTTTGAGGTTATTTCCACGTATCTAGGGGAGACCATCTTTCACAACTTCTTAAGCCCTGAACAAGAAAGTTTGAGCGTTTCCAACATTTGAAGCTGACAAATAGATTCAGGGAGTTTCTTCAATAAATAATTCCAAGATAGGTCAAGGCATCTCAAGTGTATATAATTCAAATATAACAGTCAAAAGGTGCTTTAATTTGGATATGCATGTATTGATAAATGGTACACCAATATGCTCGAATTCTTTCCTTGGAAATATGATGGACCTAACTCTATTTGCTTTATTAACTAAAACTTATGAAATCAGTGTCAATAACTGAAAAAGTCGAACTCTTCCATCGAGATTAATCGAATTTTCTGTTTTAAACTCTTCAGTTTTCTGTAGGCAGCAAATCCCCAAACATAATGAAAAAGATGATTATTACGTGCTAAACTGAACATGAGGATGTATAATGTATCTGTCTTTGGATTTTGTAATAACAACTTGAGATCGCTAATATCATCAATCTAGCAAAAAACAGAGTAGCTGTCAGAGAAATAGGATTTAGGTTCATTTGAAGGCAGGTTTTTTCTCGGAATAAGAGAATACTGTGGCCTTCATTTTTACATGTATGCGCATCAAAATTGGGAATTTGAAACCTCCTGAGATCAGTCTGGGCCTTCATTTTTACGCGTTGTCTGCCATAAATTTGTTAATTACTATTTGTATCTTTGCATCAAGAGAAATTTCTTTTTTGTAATGTGTTTAATCTTATATTGTGTAAATATTATAAAAGATATTCATTTCACTGCTATTCACATTATTTTTAAAGGAAATATTTATTATAAGCTTTTTCGCTTCGCGTTGCAACACATATCCAAGAAAGCATCAGTCTAGTTCTGAAATTCAACCGGATTGTAATCTTTAAGCAGTCGTATTTTGGCTTGCACGGAAGTGGTTGATCAAGTCATCTTCCTTTGAGCATCGGGGTTTTTACAAATTTCTGAGGCCATTCATACAGTGTTGGAACTTCTGTGGGTCAAGTAGCTTTATGCCTCCAAGTTCTACTGAAAATTGTAGCCAGTAAAGTATAGAACCCAAAACCAAGTCTAGGAAACACATGGTATCACAGAAAAGTTTCTTCTTTTTAATCTGCTTATTTACAACTCCTCGTTTTTCTTGTGCAGACTAAAGCTTTTTCTTTTTCATGTCCTATGGCACAGCAAGCAGCCCAAGTACGGAGCACACCCTGCAGACCAGACAACAAATAAACAGTCAAATACGATTCCTGTAAGTACAGAGTTCTGTTCCATTAACAAATATTCTTATAGATTACAAGCAAAATGTACAGTTTTGTTTATGCAAATGAAATTTGAACTCTTTAATTACCTCGTCATCAACAAATTTTGCCCAGAAACGCACCATGGCTCTGTCAATGGGATCTGCAGGCAATAAACGAATGTATTTCCATGTCTCTTCTGTGTACTCAAGGATGATTAAAGACTCAGAGATTGATTTTCCATTAAGCAGAAGCACCGGTACGTTTTTGTGAACAGGATTACATTGGAGAAGCAGGTTACTCTTCTTTCTCAAGTCTTCTTCTATATACTCATACGCTACACCCTTGAGCTTTAAAGCCAATTCATTTAAGACACAGAATAGGCTCAGTGATGCTCCAATCACTTTCACCTCTTCCATCTTGGAGATATGAAAATCTTTAATCAAACACTAGTTTCAATATAACTAAGCCTTGTATTGTTGATTTATACTAGTGCGGTTCTGAAAAGTATTGCATTTTAAGGCTTGTTCTTCTGATATATACTTGTTGGGTTATGAAAAGTATAGCATTTTAAACCTTGTTTTGTTGATTTATAGTAGCGGGGTTCTGAAAAGTATTGCATTTCTTGTCAAAGTATAGCAGGATGTTTCTTGAAAAACAAATAAATTTTTGACCTTTAACATTTGCATACCCATAGTCAGGATGTGCATGGTTTAGTTTGGCATAACTGAAAAAGAAAAAGAATTATAGTTTTAAAGTTAATGACATATCTATAAAAAAAAACTGAGTTCTTTCTTTCTGTATAAAAAACAACACGTCTTTAAAAACCAGGGTCTTCCGAATTCAGGAAATCAGACATCTATTTCCTATAAAAATTGAAATAGTTGAGAAGCTTTTCTTTGCATCAACCATTCATGAAGCAATAGGAACTTAACTCTGCATCAACCAATTCCATGACAGTGAGGCAGAGAGGGATCCCCTGTTCTCTCCACCCAAAATTTTTGTCTACTTCAACTAGCTTCTTCGTAGATGTAAGTTAATTGAAAATAATACAATCCATTCCAACTTCTAATCACATAATTCTGGAATCTATACAGTAATGTCCACAAGCAATATTCAATTCACATTTCAGGTAAGATAAAAAGTTCTGATATTGAGTAGAATTAGTTATTGGTTAACAGCTTTATCGAAGTTAAAAAGGTAATACAAATTATTCTCAATTCAAAACCTCTCCAAAACATTGGATTACAATGAATACGATTGAACTCTGGTTTTACATTCAAGCCTTACAGTATAAACAGGGTTCCTACTTCCCTTTACATACACAAGGCAGTGCATTTTGTTTTGCATGTCGGATTATAATTTATACAACTTAAAAGACTTTAGCTTCACTTTGAATACTGAACAACGTAACTGCAATACTAAAATCTGTTGTGACAACTTAATGAATATACAAGTTTGAGCTAATAACATTAGAAAATTGGAAATTGAATTGACTGGAAAAACACCTTTGTAATTTTCATGGCCTGGTTTAACCATATTCACAAGTAAAATAAAAATAAACAAATAAATCTAACTGGTAATTATTATTTTTTTGGTAAGTCTGGACCATAGAAGGAAAATTATTAATAAGAAAAAAAAAAAAAAAAAAAAAAGGGAATAAGAAGATGTTATGAAACTTAGATGCGATAAATGTAGTGGTACAAAGGAAAAATAAAATATTCAAGCATTCATGCGTAAGAAACAATAAAATACAACCAACAAATGAAAATAGAGAAGAAAGAAGTTGGAGTGATGTGAACCTTGAAAAGGGAAACCTGCGGGGATCATGATGTAAGTCTTGAAAAATAAACAAAGAAGCAACACAACACGCCACCAATGCATTAGCAAGAGAATCTGCTATCACTTTTTCTTCAACAGAAAAAAAAGCATTATTATGTGATGGCATTTATTGATCCAGATGAACCTCTCGGACATGAGCAATCTTCCACTCATCACGTCTGCAGCTTTCACTCAGAGCAGGACAGCCTTGAATCTTCAGTTGTCTGAGGACAGTAAGGCGTTGCATCCCTTCTGGAAGACATGACAAGCTCTGGCAATTTAAAATCTCCAGTGTTTGAAGTGAAGTGAGATTTTGCAGCCACTCCGGTAGTTCTTTTAGTTTGGGACAATTTTTCATCATTATGCACTGTAAGGTGTTTGCCGATCCTTGAAGAATAAGCTGAGGCAAATCCACTAACGATGGCAGATTGTTAATTATAAATTTTCGAACTCCCAGGCAAAGGTTATCTTTATCCTCTCCTTGAAATTCCATCTTCAAGTCAAGCTCTGAACAGTTATCAATCATTACCTTCTCTAATCTCTTGAGGTACTTGATACTATATGGCAACGAGGTCAGGGAACAAAATTCAAGATGCAATCTTTGGAGGCTTGTGAGACCTTGCATCCCTTCAAACAATCTTAGTAGGTTCTCGCAGCCAGATAAGGTCAAAATTTTAAGTGACCTTAAACATCCGATTCCATTTTCTCGTAGATATCGCTCTTTTGTGGTTATTTCCATGTGCCTAAGGGAGATCATCCTTCCTATATTCCTAGGCAACTTCTTAAGCCCTGAACAACTAAAAAGTCTGAACGTCTCCAACTTCTGAAGCTTGCAAATAGATTCAGGAAGTTTCTTCAATAAACAATTACCTGATAAGTCAAGGTATCTCAAATGTATCAATGTACCAATAGACTTTGGCAAGACTTCAAAAAGTGTATTGTTTAAGTATAGCAGTCGAAGGTGCTTGAATTTGGATATGCATGTATCGATAAATGATACACCAATATACTCGTATTCTTTCAGAAAAATAAGGGACCGAACTGTCTTTGATCTATTATCTAGAACTCCTGAAGCTTTTTGACGGTTGAAATCAGAGTCAATAATTGAGAAATGCCGAACACTCCCATCAACTATTTGGCTTTTGGATTTTATAAAAGTACACTCACTTTTTGCCACTGATGTTGCAAGATCATGCATAAGATCGTGCATTTTACCTATAAAATAAATGATGATAATGTTTTGTAAAATCCTCTAAGAAACACCTCAACCATAATTCCTTCATACAACGCACAGCAACATCTTCTAACTCTTCAATATCATCATTAGAGGTTGCAAGGAGTCCATGTGTCATCCAATGTATGGTAATGTAATCACTGTCATAAATATAATCCTTTGGAAATAAGGAAAGATAAGCAAAACATTGCTTCAAGTGAGACGGCAAATTATCATAGCTCAATTTCAATACTGGTAAGATGTCTTCCTTTTCCTGTTTCAGCTGCCAGATGTCACTTCTTTTTATTCTTAACCATTCATCTTCATCTGTTTTTGCAAAAAGTAAGCTCCCTAAAGTTCTCAAAGCTAACGGAACTCCTTTACATTTTCCGACAATGTCCTCGGCAATTTTAATGAGGTTTGGAAAATCTTTCCCTTCTCCATCTTTAAATGCACACTTTTTAAACAACGATAAAGAATCCTCAAGTGAAAGACCTTGTATGAAATGCGGGGAAACGGTGCCCATTATCTCAGCAACAGTTTTACTGCGTGTACTAACAATAATTTTACTTCCATTGACACCATTTAGCAGTAAATTTCTCAGATCCATCCATTTCATTGGTTTTTCATTCCAAACATCATCTAAAACAAGCAAAAACTTTTGACCAACCAAAATTTCTTGCAAACGCTTAGGGATTTCATCTGCTTTTAACTTGCCACAATCCTCACGTGTTGCTGAATAAATAATTTTTTTCATCAATCCGATGACATCAAAGTCGTCGGAAACAGACACCCACATTTTTAACTCAAAATGCCTATAGGCCCTCTCATCATTGTAAACCATTTTAGAAAGAGTGGTTTTACCCAAACCCCCAATTCCAACTATAGGAATGACGGAGAAATTAACATCGCCTGGTTGTATCAAAAAGGTTATGATGTTTTCTTTATCCGTCTCTCTTCCAATAACATCAGAAGCTTGGAAGAAGGAATTAGTCTCCCTCTCCTTGGGAAGTATATGCCTCACGTCTATATGATTCTCAATAAGATGAAATCTGTGCCTATCATCTGTGATCTCATCTAACCTTTCTCTAATCTCCCTGATCTTGCGACCAATTTTAAGAGGATTGGAGCTTGAAAAGCATCGACATACCTTTAATGTTGAGCTCCCCTGTTGTGATCTCCTGGAAGCTTGAAAGTCGAATTCATCTAAAACGTCCTCAGCATCATAAAAGACATCCTTAAGCTTCCGAAGCCAGTCACGCAGCTGATGGTCTTGAGTCTGCTTTGTCTCGGCATCCAACAGCACAGCTTTGATGGTGCTCATGGTTCCCTCAAGTCTTCTTAAATCACTTTCCAGATTCCACAGCAACGACAATTCCCCACCAATAAGGGAACCTATATTCTTCAAAATTTCAGTGGCAGTACCAAATAGAATGGATTCAGCCATGTTTTCTTTGAAGAGAGCGAGAATCAGGTAGTTTAAGAGAAATGAAGTAGCTAAGAATGGATATTTGAGCGTATTCAGCTACACTCTTGAAACTCAACATACAGGGAACAGAAAAAACAGGATATAAACTCAAAATTCATAAAGAACACACCCATGACTTAATATTATTCTTTGAAACTCAAGACTATCTATATTTTTTTTGAATATTTAAGACCACAACCTCTATTATTAGTTGCCTAATGTGGACAGCCCAACGGCTTAATATGACTTTGTAAAATATTATAAAGTAAAAGACATGTTCCCACCCAAATACTCACCTCACTCCTCTCATCAAAACCGATTGCCGTCCGACCCCTGCCTGGACATCGTTCGCCGGCCACCTTCTCAATTGGATTTTTGCGTGTCGTTTGCTTTTCCGGTTGATTCTCTCACCGGAAATTGATGCTGTCACCACCAACCGACCCACCGACCCTTCCTCTCCAAAAGCCCTAACAATCCCATTCCCGTTCGCTCATCGTTCGCTGGCGATTGAAGCTCCCCCACCCTAGGGTTTTCTGAGTGTGAAAGATGAATTGGGTTTGATTTGTTCGATTTTTTTGTTTGTTTCGATTGGAGGACCGTTGAGGAAGGTTTTCTGAAGTGTTTTGAGGCTGTGTTGTTGATTTCCGGTCGTTGGGGCTCCCCAAAACTCTCACCTTCAACCTTTTCGCGATTGCGCATAAAGTGTTCGAAAAAGGGCTTTTTTTTTTTTGTTGTGTTCTATGCGGTGATATTGTGTGGGTGGGACTGTAACAGTTGGCTACTGGGGATGGGAGGCTGTTGCACTAGATGGACGGAAGGTGGGTCGGGTGGAGTTGTTGGCTATGGGGGAGGAGGCGTGCTTTGCGGACGGAAATAGGGTGAGAGAGCTTTGACGAGCGTTGGTGGGTGGGGAGGATGGGCGGAGAAAAAAGTAAAAAAATAAAAGAGAGAAAAATAAGTTCTTGCCGCCGCCGCTGCTGTTGCCATAGCAGTCGCAGAAGCCGCAACAGCAGTTGCAGGGGTGTGTTTGTTAGGTTTTCACATCTGAGTTTTCAAATATGTAAATACTTATAAAATCTGAGGAGCATGTTTGTCAGGTTGTCAAGGGTCATAACCTAACAGACTAAAAATCTAGAATAAATGAAACCAGTGGAAACTTGCCATTTCGTTAATTTTTGGTGGAACATGTCGCTTGTTCAAATATTATATAATCAATTTATTCCAGAAGTTGAATTTGTTTCACTGTCGTCAAGTCTAAATTGTTAAGGTATTATTATGTATATTTAGATTGGATATCCTCATCTTTTGAGTTAGCTTTTAAAAGTTAATTTTATCCAAGTCAATACATCAATTTCCTCTAAAAATTTGCACACCAGCGGCTTAGTCATTGTAATGTCAATCTCATTGAAATTCAGGAAATAAGTTGCGTATATAGGTACTCGTACATTTAACAGTCTCATCTATTTTGAGCATTTTCTATATGTTGTTACCATCAGAGGTTCTCTAAAACTCCCCTGTTTTTTTAACATCCTCTAAGTTTGCAGTTACTTCAGCAGAAACTACTTACTTAACTGGAATTGAATTTTGAGGTTGTCTAATGTCTTTGATGCCACATGTTATAACTATCTATATCATAGAATGATAACCTTACATTAACAACTAAAACACAAAAAACAAAACAGGAGAACAGAAGCAACAAATTAAACCCTAGTTATATATCCTCTTTCCAAGAGGTCCCAAGCAATAAACCATAAAATAAAGAGTAAGTTAAGATCAACTCATTATTAGTTGTTGGGTGCCAAAGAGCGCATGTAGCCTACACTAGCAGTCACATAGTTGACAAGCTTTTCTCTTGGGGGAAGGCTTTCTTTGATGAGTGGAATTTGGATGAAGTTGTGGCACCATTCATTCAGCAATGGCAATTTCTCACCATCAACCAACTTCATTTCTCCAACTTGTTCCATTACCTTCAGCCAGTGAGGGATCCAACCCAATGCTAGATCCAGATATCCTATTTCTTCTCCACCGAAATATTTCTTTCCTTCAATCTGCTTCTCAAGAAAGACAAATGATTCTATTGCAGACTCCACTGCTTTGTCCTTTTCTTCTCCTTCTTTCCAGCAAGCTCCAATTGCACCCATCAAACACTAGTTTCATACAAATTTAAATACGAGATTAGAATCCTTGTGTAAGCACAAAGTTAAACACATGATTAATCAAACATATTTTTCATGTACCTGCTCATCAGCAAATTTAGCCCAGAAGCGAGCCATGGCTCTCTCACATGGATCTTCAGGCAGTAAAGGGTACTTTTCCTTCCACAACTCATCGATATATTCAAGAATTACAAGTGATTCAGCAATCGGTTTGTCATGGTGAACCAGCACAGGGACTTTCTTATGCACAGGATTGTATTTCAGAAGGATTGGACTCTTGTTCATTAAATCTTCCACTCTGTATTCATATTCAACCCCTTTAAGCTTCAGAGCCCATTCAATTCTCGTGCAGAATTGGCTTAAAGTTGATCCAATCACCTTCACTTCACCCATGTTGATAAGCTTCGTTATGAACTGTGAACTCAATTTGCAATTTATTCCAACTATCTTCTGGTGATTATCGATCTAATATTAAGTATTTAGCAAAGAGTTGCCTTATATGTTTTTCGTTTGAAAAGTCAAATGACTATAAAATATGCGGCCGTGCATTTTGACTTCAAGGATAAACAAGGAAGTTTCATTCATGGAGAATTCGTACATATATGTTTGAAAAATAAAAGATAGAGAAAAATAATATTTTCAGCCTGGACGACCGATTAGCAGCCAGAAAGTTCAAACAGGGGAAATTCTAAATAAAAGGATTATAATTTTGACTGATGTGACAATTGTAGTAAAAAAATTAAAAGAGGGATTCATTCAGGATTAAAAATAATTAATTAGCTAATTACATCATTGCTTGCATATATAGCACCAATATTATTAATGAAATTGAAATTAAAGTAATAATTTGTTAATGCTAGATGTTGACACCAACAATTTGCACTTACAAAGAGCTAAGCTGACTTAAAAATTATGTACATATGAATAAAAAATGCAATGAAGTAAATGAAAGATGATTTTTAAAGTGGTTCGGATGCTTGAAACGAATCCTACGTCCACTATTCTTTTATATATATGAGGTTATAGGAGATCGCGTATAGCGAACAACAAGCAAAAATATAAATGACTGATTATTCAGAGAGAATATTGAGTCAGTCTCTTTCTCGTAGGTTATCTATGTTCTGAGAATAAAATGTTACAATTAGAATGGGTTTTTTTTATTAGAATCCCGAAAATAAGAGGGGAGTCCTCTATTTATAGTAGAAGGTTTTAGGGTAATGATTACAAATTTGCAAGTAGGTAGGTGTAGTACAATTCCTACTGCATTTCCCATTGGCTGATTACATAGGAAATATCCTCAAATTGCATAGGGTTTGGACATGTGGGCGACTCCCATCCACTCATAGACAAAACTTGAGTCTGTCAAGTTGATGACATCCATACTTCTTTTGTCTTTGGACAACGTGGCAGCTCCTAGACGGCACAAAACCTTCCTAAACTTTGATTGGAACTTGCTAACGTAAGCCCTGATTTTTAGACATAACATAATTAAACCAATGAGAAAATTATAAAAATATATAGTAAATCCAAACTATAACATATTAGAGGTTTTGATAATTTTATAAAGGGGTTTGATATTTTTTAGGGAATTTTTGATAATTATATGATTTTTTTTTTTTTTAATACTTTTTGAAGGATAGGATGAGTTTCATTTAAGCAATCTTATAGAGGAAAATGAAATAAACCCTCTAGATATAGTTTACATAACCTAAAAGATTTAAACGAACACGCATGCATAACAAACACAATAAAATTAAAACTAAAATGATAAGAAAAAAAAATGCAACCAAAATATAACTAATAAAAATGAAGTTCAACTGATAAAGTGAACCTGGACCTGAGAAACATGCAGGACGATGTCATTTATTCATCAAGATGAACATCTCGGACATGAAAAATCTTTGAGCCATCGCGTCTGCAGCTTTCACTCAGAGGAGGATAGTCTTTAATCTTTAGTTTTCTGAGGGCGTTAAGGCGTTGGATCCCTTCTGGAAGAGATGACAACCTCCAGCATCTTATAATTTCCAGCTTTTGAAGTGATGGCCGGTAGTGCTTCTAAGTTGGGACAACTTTCAATCTTCATGCACCATAAAGTGTTTGCCGATCCTTGAAGAATAAGCTGAGGCAAATCCACTGTTGTCGTTCCTACTTGTGATCAGTGGTTTTTCCTTTCAAGTTAACTGTTGTGGTGTTGGAGGACAAGTTGGCTGGAATAAATGCGTGACAGCTTAGTCAGCTCAAGTTTGTTAAAAGGCAGAGCTGGCGTAATTAGTTGGAAGTTTGTTAGAGTTAGTTAGATTAGTAAGTTAGTTATCTTCTCTTCAATTGTTTGAATTCATTTCCTCTCAAATCTCAACATGGTATCAGAGCCTCGATAAGGGCCAAAATACTTGATTCTTCAACTCTTCGAATCATCTCAATTCAATCTACTTTCTTCTCAATCAATCAGGAATCAGTCTTGATTCATTCGATTCACGTTTCTAGAGGTTGCTGTTTTCCTTCTGATTCATTAACCGAATCGAATTCCAATCTTTGATTCTTGATAATTTCGCTTAACATCAAACTCATGGCAACTGGAGAAAATAGCTCAACTGAAGTCAAAACACGCATTCATCAAAAGGACAAGCTACTCAAAAGGTGGATGCAATTGACTTCAATCATCCCCTGTTCCTGCATCCCTCTGATACACCAGGTTCAATCCTTGTATCTTTTCAATTAATTGGTGTAGATAATTACTCTCTTTGGAGTAGGTCAATGAGAATAGCCTTATTAGTAAAAAACAAGCTAGGATTTATAGATGGATCATGCACCAAAACTTCAATTTCAGCAAGCATGCATCAGCAGTGGGATAGGTGTAATGCCATTGTGTTGTCTTGGATTATGAATTCTATAACTAAAGAGCTGTTAAGTGGTATTGTGTATGCATCTAACGCTCATTTGGTCTGGAAGGATTTACAAGAACATTTTGATAAAGTCAATGGTTCAAGAATTTTTCAATTGCACAGAGATATTGTTACTCTTACACAAGGAAGTTTATTAATATCAGGATATTTCACTTGGTTGAAATTGCTATGGGATGAGTACTCCTCCATCATCCAACTGCCTTCATGTGACTGTGCCATGTCCAAATCATATGTAGATCACATGCAAAGTCAGAAACTACTTCAGTTTCTAATGGGATTGAATGAGACATACATTCAAGCCCGAGGACAAATTCTGATGATGACACCTTTACCATCAATTAATCAGACCTACTCTATGTTAATCACTGAAGAAAGTCAGAGGAATATCAACACACATCCACCAGCTGATACACCTTTAGAGTCTACTGTATTGTTTTCCTCTTCACATCAATCAACCAAGTCCAAAAAAAAACTGGAATTTGGTGTTTGAGCATTGTAGTGTCAAAGGCCACAAGAAGGAGAATTGCTATCGGTTGATTGGATATCCTCCTGACTTTAAGTTCACTAAGAATAAAGGACCATATCAACCATCATTTGCTGCTCACAATGTCACTTCTAATGATCAGGCAGATACTCATAGCAATGCAATTTCCTCAGCACCAGATTCATCTAAGTCAAAGTCATCAGCCCTTTTTACAAAAGAGCAATATGTTGAGATCTTGAAGCTGCTGCACAGGGACACATCTCCTTCTCCTTTGACTGATTTTAGTGCTAACATCGCAAGTATACAATGCTACCTTTCTTCTCTTAGCAAAAAGCAATCTTGGATCTTGGACACTGGTGCTAGCCATCACATGTCACACTGTTTTGAGCAGTTAGTTGACTTGATTTCTCCTGTTGTATCTCCATCAGTAAGACTCCCAAATGGTCATGTATCAGAAGTCTCTCACATAGGCTCTTGCTTCCTTAGTCCTACTCAAAAAATCACCAATGTTCTTTATGTCCCTGACTTCAAGTTTAACTTGATCTCCGTTGCAGCTCACTAAGGACTTATCTTGTTATGTGTCTTTTTTTCCTGATTTTTGTGTAATTCAAGACCTCCCAAATGGGCAGGTGAAGGGGATTGGTAGACAAATTGAGGGCCTCTACTTTCTACTGCCACAATCATCATCAGACTTAGCTCATTCAAGATCATCTTCACCTGATGCTGTTTCTCATAGATCATCTTCAACTGATGCTGTTTCTCATGCTGTTGTTCCAAGTTTTCCAGTTTCGAATAATACCAAGCAATGTATGCTTAGTTCTTCTGAGTTATGGCACAAAAGATTGGGGCATGTACCTCTTTCTAAACTCAAATATTATTCTGCAATCAAACATGCTTTTGTTAAGGATGACCATGGTTTTGATTATCATATTTGTCCTCTTGCCAAGCAAACTCGAATGCCATTCACAGCAAGCCATAGCAAAGCTTCTGCACCTTTTATTTTAATTCACATGGATGTATGTGTACCATATTCTCAGCCTACACATAATGGTCACAAATTCTTCTTAACTTTAGTTGATGACTTCACCAGAATCACTTGGATTTTCCTAATGCGACATAAGCATGAAACAATCCTACATCTCAGGAAATTTATTGCTCTTGTACATAATCAATTTTCTGCCTCTATCAAGATTGTTAAATCAGACAATGGGAGTGAATTTTTTAATTCACAATGTGCTGATTTATTTACTTCTTTGGGGATTGTTCACCAAAGTTCTTGTGTAGCCACACCTCAACAGAATGGTGTAGTAGAGAGGAAACATAGACATCTACTTGAAGTGGCCAGGGCATTAAAGATTCAAGGAAACATTCCTATATCTTACTAGAGTGAGTGCATCCTTACTGCTTGCTACATCATCAATAGACTGCCCACTTCAGTTCTTTCTAACAAGAGTCCATGCGAAATTCTCCACTCCAGACCTCTTTCTATTGAGCATTTCAAGGTTTTTGGATGCTTATGCTATATTGCCAACTTCACTTCTAAAGATAAGCTAGGTGTTAGAAGTATTCCTTCCATTTTCTTGGGGTATTCATCGGCTCAAAAAGGCTACAAGCTCCTCTTTCTTACCACTCGAAAATTGTTTGTCAGTAGAGATGTGCAACTCATGGAGCATATTTTTCCTTTTCAGTCTGCCATTCCATCTCCAACATTATTTCCCTCATCAGAACCCACAACTACTTTGGATTTTGATTCTCATTTCTTACCTCAGAATCATACACTGCCCCCTGAGTCTCCTATCACTCACACATAGCATCAGTTGTCTGACTCTATTCCACCAGCTCTTGATGCTCCTGACATTCATGTTTCTTCTCATAATTCCCCTGATATTCCTGTCCCTGAAGTCATCGTTCCAGCTCCTAGAAGATCCTCTCGAAGCACCAGGCCTCCATTATGGCTTACAGACTATGTCTCCCCTCATGCTCACTTTGCTATTCAAAAGTATATTTGCTATGATCATCTTGCTAGTTCTTATCAATGCTTCCTCGCTTCCATGTCTAAACATATT